ACGCATTTGGGTTTGTTTTGTTTGGAAGCCGGATATTTTCCCCGTGTGTATATTCACTTGTATACATATCGATAGTGTTTGCGTCGTGATCGGTTACCAATCGTTCGAGTAACGAATTGTCGTAGCCTTTATTAAAGTGCTTTTCAAACGCAACTTATCGAGTGCGATTTTTATTTGGTTACTGTCCCCAACGGGTCACAAAGAAAAAATAGGTGGTGGATGCGAAGAGGACACGCGAGAGTGAGTGTCTAGACTCTCACTCCCGAGATACCGCATATCCATATCGCCACAGCGCAATGGCATATGCGTGCGCGGGGGAGGGGGAGTTAACAGCTGTATACAATCATCTGTAATTCATTTCTAAGGAATATCTACATTGGGCACCCCCTCTAATATTTATAGTACTGCCATAGGCTACAACTGTGCCAAGTTTGATGCTTTTGTCAGCTCTGTAACGATCATGAAGCTAAGGGACCTGACTAAAGTGTTTACAATCACAATTGCATTGAATAACCGAGCATTGCTCGAAATAAGCGTTAGGCGCGTTCACACACAAGAAAAACCCGGCTGCTAAGCCCGCTAATAGCGGAGCTAATAGTGAGCTAATTGTGTCGTTGTTCACACAGGCGGAAATAGCTCGCCGGGTTTTGCAGCCCGCTAATTCGCGCCAGTGTGAACGCACCTGTTGTCCGGCTGTCCGAGACAACCAGAATTTGCGCCGGACAACCTAACCAGTCTGAGACATTGTCCGGTGGACAACCAAGAAAAATGTGACGAAAAACGCACTTTATTTATATTTTTCTGACCGCGAATTGAATTTCTTTCGGCTGTCGATCGGCCTGCATTGCGTCCATAGCTAGTGTTGCTTTGGCCAATAAGTATGCGTATAACAACTCACGTTCGTAGCGACAACAAATTTGACAAGTTTCATCGGCGAGTAAACAGGTAACTACTTATCGATCACTACAAACGCTTTTTCTGATACTTGTTGCTGGTAGATTTGTTGTGGCAGTGATGTAATCGAATCTGCCTGAGAGGTAAACATTGACTAACAGGACCGAGTGTGTCAGCGATAATAGAGGTATTCTATAGTTAGCCATGTCAAACTTATTAAAAATAAAAAATAAAACATGCAGTGAGTCAGGAAGTATAACTGTTCCAGTTGTTAAGAATATCAATTTTGAAACAGACTTCTTAGAGTTGAGAAGAAAATTTTATTTTTTTATACAAAACGGATTCTATTCAAATGACAATGATTAAAGGAGCTTAGGTTTGGATTCTAGACAAAGTTCTGTGTTCCATTGGCATTGATTCAATGAGACCTGGAATACATTTTGCATTCAGTTGCAGCTTGAATTTGTATTTAATGGGTATATACGCAGTGATGGGCAAACTTTTCAGAGCGAGGGCCGCATCAGTGGGCCATGAAAAGTCAAAGGGCCGCACCTTTCAAAATCGGGCGGTGCGCTCTAAGATAATACAACATAGAGACAGCATGGTTAATAAAAACAAACAAATTCATAATCCAGCACAAACAATTTAATGGGAAAAATGTTTCTGGTCACAATTCTGCTTTACAATTCTTTTAAAGTCTGGCACAAGGTTGCTGGTAGAAACTCTCATCACTGCATTTAAGTTTGTGTCTGACACCATGGACCTGTTCTTGGACTTATTTATCTTCATGCAAGAAAAACTCACAGATGTAAGTGGAACCAAAAATAGAGAATAATCTGTCAGCAAAATTTCTTAAACAGGGAAAGCATTGAACAGAGAGTGACTTGTAAAACTCTACTAATGGTAGGGAGTGAAACATTTCCTTCAATGAATGATCAGATTGAATGTCTATCAATTCAAGCTGTAATTCATCAGGTGCTGCATCAACATCAGCAGAGAAAGGAGAAGTTAATAAGTTGAATTTAAGCTCAATCTGTCTGAAATCCTCAAACCTTCTTTCAAACTCTTTAGTCAAACTTCTCAAATGATCCTTAATTTTTGAGCACACATTTGCAGGCACTTAATTCTTTCCCAACAATGAAAAATGGTTGAACTTGCCCTTACTTGCTTGCCTTGAAAACAAAGATAATTTTGCTTGAAAAGATTTGGCATGCTTATACATTTCATGAGCCAAAAGTTCCTTTCCCTGCAATTTCACATTTAGCTCATTCAGCTTTTCAAAAACATCAGCTGCAAACATAAGTTCATATTTCCACTCATCATGCAGTCCATTTTTGTAACAAATTCACAAGCAATCCCTTTCATATAGAGAAAGAGCAGAATTTCTTCTCGTAAGTCCCACACTCGCTTTAGCACTTTGCCAAGACTGAGCCATCGTACATTGTTG